TATTCTTAAAGTAATATAAATAAAATAATATATAATAAATCGTTCTTATACTTCCTAAATTATTCGACTATATAGTTATATAGTCTAGTCTCCTTCTACTTTAGTAGTTACTTCTTTAATTATATTTCGATCTTACTCCTAATAGATTATATATTAGCCTTAATTAAATCCTTAAGATCGATAATTATAACCTTCTTCTCTCTAGTAGACGTATTAAAATTCCCTATCTCGCCTAGTATAAAAGCCTTCTCCGGAAAGAATAGATTTATCTTCTAGTTCTTAACTTCTTTAGTAATTATATCTACTACTTCTATCCTCGTTTCTATATCGATTTATACTACTTATAGATACTTACTATAATAGAATACTCGAAAATTTATTATTATCTATAGCCTATAGTCGCTAGTATTTTATTACTTCTTACTTTTTATATCGCTAATAATAATATCTTCTAGTAGATATTCTTCGGTAATTAATAACGAGTAGAAATAAATTAAGTTCTTATTATTCTTCTTCTTCTTATAGTCGTAGATAGAGTCGAGATAAAAGACTTTACCTCTTCTTTCTTCCTTAGTTAGTTTCTAGATAATTAAGAACTAATATAGATCTTTATTAATAATAATAGTACGAGTCTAGTTTCTATTTTCTTCCTATAGTTTATAATATTTACCTTATTTAATTATATTCTATATATAGTATAGTATAATATAGACTTAGTTATTATTATATTCTCTAATAGCGATAATAGCTATTAGTATAATAGAGCCGTTTAGCTACTTAGTTCTCTATCTTCTAATTTCTAGAGTACCTAGGTCTTTAATTTAAAGACTCTACCCTTCGTATCGTACGTTACTACTACGAATCTTTTAGTTTAAATTATCGTACTTATTATAGTAGTTATTTAGGCTTACCTAGATTATCGTTTAGTATTTTATATCGCTTCGTAGATCGATATAGGAAAGCGTAATTATTATCGTAAACTTATAGAATATCTACCTAAGCTCGTTAACTATTCTACTTTTATTCTTACTCTTTACCTTATAATTAACTATACTTATATATAGTTCTAAAGTAATACTAATAAGCTAGAGCCTAGAAGAACTTATAAATATATTCTTTTCGTTATCGTTAATTAATTCTTCTTCCTCGTTATTAACTCTTCTCTCTATCTATTTAACTATTAATTTCTATAGAACTTTCTATATTACCGTTAGGCTCTTAATTAGATAGCTCTAAAAGACTCGATTTATTATTACTTCCTTTAAAACTTAATTTCCTTAAAAGATTCTTTAAATTTCGTATTCTACCTTAGCTTCTACTATTTAGATTAGCGTAGAATTCCTATTTAGTCTCTTTAGTCTTAATAGACTCGAGAGGCTAAGCGTTAGACTATATAGGATTAGTCGTTTCTTTAAGTTAGCTAGAATTATAATTAGCTTAGTATTCTATACCTTAGCTTCTATTATAGATAAATTCTTAAACCGTCGTTATATAGATTCTATAGTTCTAGTAGACGAACTTTTAATAGTTCTATCCTTTAGCTCGTAGAATTCTTTATTAAGAAATTTTTAAATACTAGTATTAAGTATAATCTTCTTCGAACTCGACTATATAGTTATATAGTCGGATATATTTTTCTTCTTTAGAGATATTCTTTTCCTAGGTTCTCTTATAGGAAAGCTTATATCTTCTTTTTTAATAGTCTTTATTCTCTATTAATATTTCCTAGCCTCGGGCTTAAGATTTCTACCTAGATTCCTAGTATCTTCGCCTTCTACTTAAGGCTTCTTAACTTTTATTCCTAGTATATTACCTCCTATAAGTTATTTCTCTATATATAAAGTAGGTTTAATAGGCTATATAGAGTTCCCTCTATTATTTATTAAATTAATATAGTTTCTAGGTAACGCTCTATACTTCTAGTAAATACTATAAATCTCTTTATCTATATTTTAGACCGGGTAGCCTAGTAAGCCCTAGGCTATCGTAGGCTCGTAGCGCTAGGCTATAATAGATACTTATTATAAGCTTATAGGGTAAACCTTAATTCCTATAGGCTCGCTAGGCTCGTACCTAAGTACTATAGGCTTATACACTAACTTTACTATTTATAGAACTTTTCTATTTTATAATTATATA